GGGTAAACTCCGTTGTTAATGCACCGAGCTGTGGGGCCACCAATAGCCCCACCCCAGCCCGGCGTCGCTCACCCGCCGCAACTCCAGAGTAAAAGAGCGTCCAGCCCCTCTCCAGGAGATTGGTTCCAGAACCCAAGCCATGCGTTGAGGTGAGCCCGACTATATCTAGTCGATACCTCTCAACCTCCCATACAAGCTCAAGCTCCTTCCCCACCAGAGAGGTGACATTCCATGTCCCGAAAGCCAGTTTTGTCAGCCGGGGATCGGACCGCCAGGGCCTCCCTTGGCCGCCACCCGATCCACAAAGCACCGAACCCCTGACATTCCCCCTGCGGGTGGTGGGCCCACCTGGGGACAGTCCCGCGTGCCTCTTTCGGCCTATGCCCGGCCGGGCCCCACGGGCTAAGGCCCGGCCACCAGGCGCTCGCCAACGGGCCCCTCCCCCAGGCCTGGCTCCAGAGTGGGGCCCCGGTGACCCTAGTCCGGGCGAGGGAAACGGGACTTTGTTATTGAACTTGTTCATGGGGTTCTTTTGGATTGCTCTTTGTCTGGCCCCTCCCCTGGGACCTTTTTGCCTTGGGAGACCCTACCAGGGGCTATTGCCCCCGACAACATAGCCCCCAGGTTCACGGAGGCACGCAAACCCCTCCACCACGATAAGGTGGCAATACGTGGGTGTACTGTATTAACTGAATTGCAGTGTTTGTAAGTTTGAATTTAAATGAATTATTAGTTTATAAAGTTTGTATACTTCCTTAAAATTAAATATGTCCTGTCAACTAAGTTACTTGTGTCAACCGCGTTGCCTTCATTGTCAACTAAGTTAAAATGTAATTAATAAAGTTAAACAACGAAATGAAGCTTCTAACATAATTTGAAGTTTGTTATACATGGGAAGAGGTATGGACTTTGTATGAGTTTTTTGTTTAATTTTGAAAATGACTGGTATGGCAATTTTTTAATAATAAATATTTGGGTTATTATTAACAGTTGTAGTCAAATCACATATATACTTGAAAAATAAATAAATAAATAAAATGGTTCAAAAATGTTATTGTATGTCTAGCAGAATAGACTAAAGATACATTAAAATGGCTTTTTACTTTAAGTGTAAGATTCAACTAAGTGACTGAAATACATTTTTTTACAGTTTTTTACAGTTTGTCCGTAACTTAGTTGACATACTTAGAAGTAAAAGCGTCTTTTCCATTAAGAAATAGAAAAAATGGCTAATGATTAAGCTTTGCAACAACTGGATATGTTACATTGAAGAATTATACTAACTTACCAGACTGGTTATTTCATTTAAAAACAATATGTTTTTTCATGTTTTTCTTAAGGGGAAATGTACCCCAAATTATAGAATCACCCACCTTCTAAATAATTAAATAAAAATAACCAAGTTTTTACAAAAAGAAACCCCATTTGAATTAACGTTAATTTTACACAAGGGATGACCAGAGGGTCTATTGCATTAGTTGGGCAGGTATATACACCGTTGTAGAGACCTATTAGAAAATAAACACAAAAAGATAATATATTTGCTGGCTGCTTAGAACATTTTTCATTAAAACAGAGTTTGCGAGCTCAAGAAGTTGTTTTCAGTATTCCATATTGTGTCATTCTCCAACAAACTGTTTGTTCAGAAATTCCAAAGAAATGAGCTATATCCTTAGCGGTGTATCCCCAAAGAAGGTGAGTTTCAATTACATCTGGAGGCAAGATGGAAGAAGGCCTTCCCAAAGTTACTTCCTCTGCATCGGAGAAAATGTGAAGGTGATGGGCAACCTCTTGAAGAATATAGAACACTTCTGGGTTTATATCCATATCTAACGTTGCATTTATTTAATTTTTATGACAGACCATTTTCAGATCAAAGTTGGGACCCTTAAACATAACACATAACACACATTAAATTTTGTACGTTAATATCCGTTCAGTAGCATCAAATGCTGGAGTGGAAATGTTAACTTCATATATATTCACTGCAACCTACTGTACATCCATACTTTTCACATCCGCTATTATAGGTAAGTTGGGCTATGAAAACTTCTATTTCAGGTTTTTGGAAATGTTAGAATCATAAATGTGTGGAACATGAAACAGAAACTACGCGAACAGACAGAACAGACGCGAAGTTACATGTTAGAATTAGACTGAAATTTTCTGAAATAAATACATCGCTTCTCTGCCCCTCCTGCTTCCCCCTATACTTAAGTCTTAATTATAGTCTTACCTTTTGTTCCTGCCCTCTTTTTAAGCACTCTCAGCTGCTTCCTGTTTGCTCCATCATTAGTCTTGTATTTAAGTCCTTCTCAGGCCTGTGCCCCCCAGATCTGTCATAAATGGTGTACCCCCCATATTGCCTGTGTTACTATTTATAATATGGTGCAGCTACAATTAAAGCACAGGCTCATCACTGGACCACACCTATTACTCTCTGCAGTGCCACATCTGTGCTCCTGTGGAACAGGGCATGTGTTCATTTTGTAGTCAGACCATATTATTTCTGTAAATTTCTTGGGGATGTAATTGTCTTTCAGGCTGAGGAAGTAGGGGAAGCAGGTAGGACCAGCTAAAGCGATTCTGGTTGTCTCGTGAAAATCTAGCCTAATGAAAAAAGAATATATCACAAAGTTTTTTGTATGAGAATAGAGATGTTTGCAAATTTGAACTCAAATTAGATACTTTCAGTTAAGCAACAACGTAATCCCTGGACACCCAGGGCTGGACCCGGGCATTGGCAAACTAGGCAGCTGCCTAGGGCCTGATTGGTACAAGGAGGCCCAGACAAAGTCATGGAAAAAATATAGGCATTATATACATGACCTGCTCTAGCTGTAGACAGAAGTAGCTGCTGCCCCTGAATTACATGCACTGTGCCAATAGTTGTACAGAAGGCATCTGTATGGAGACTAAAAGGCATTGTGAAATCACTGGAGGGAGGTTATGAGAGATCCTGCTTGAGGTAGATGAATGCCTCCTGGAAATCTGTGGTTCACTGGAGTGCAATGGAGAGGAGTTGCATGATGTGCCAAGATCTTGATGAACTTCCTATAATAAGAGCCAGGGCCCAGAAAAGATCTTACTTGGGTTGGAGTACAAGGTGCAGGCCTCTCTTTCACACTCTGCACCTTATGAGGACCAGGTTGAATGCCATGTCTTGAAACCAAGTGCCCCAGAAACAGAACATTTTCTTAGTTTAAGGCCATGAGATTGAAATCTGCTAAACACTTTAACGAGATGCTTTATGTGCTCATCAAAAGTCCAGTTGAATATCAAGACATCATCTATGTAAATAAAACAGGTTTCTCATGACTCATCTCCATGTTTCAGGGCGTTAGCGAGGCATGACCTAAAAATGGTCTGATTCCTGTTGTAAAAGCAGCCTTTTCTCTGTCATGAAGCTCCATTTCCACCTGCCAGTAGCTTTGTTGCAAACCCTCTGTTGAAAACTTGGCAGCTCCAGAGAGTGATAAGGAATGAGAATCTTTGATAGTCACAGTGTTTAATTTTCTGTAATCCTTAGAGAAACGCCAAGAGCCATTTTCCTTTTACACCAAAACAACACGTACTGCCTATGGACTGAGCCTCTCCTCAGTTAGTACATGGGGGTCATTAAGTTGTCTTTGAATCTCTTTCTGCTTCTCAAGTGTGACACTGTAGGCATGATGTTTAATGCATTACCTGTATGAATCTGGTGTTTGACAATGCCAGTGTGACTTTTTTTCACATGTCCTTACTAAAGATTCCAGAAAACATCCCTAGTAATGCTGTCAATGCTCTCCACTTTATTTGTCCATTACCTGGACAGGCAGCACAGGATCATCATCTCCAGAAGACAACACTGAGCAACAAACAAACAGTCTCACACACAGCCTCAGAAGATATGAGTGAAACTCACTGACCAGCACAAAGCTCAATGTCTGTTTCTGTGGCATTCAGAACACATACCACAGTCAATCCATTTTTGTATTTCACTCGATGTGTGGGCAACAATGATGTCTTCCATACAGTTTGGTGCTAGGACTCCAACCTAGCCATTAGGCACCGTAACACCTTCTTTTAATGCTTTATTTATAGTATTTAATTTGGAAAAATAAAAATTCCCCACGTCCACCCATGCACAGGTAACAAAGACCAGAAGAAAAAGGAATAAATAAAAATGATTACAATGGTAAACATAAATAGATTAATCTATAGGCCTACAGCCAAGTGCATATTACTAAGATAAACATAATGTAGGAATATGAAATGGTAAAAAAAGAAAAGGGGGGGAGAAGGACCCTCTGCTCAGTGTCATTTTCAATAGAACATGATTATACACATTGGCAATAGAAACAGCAGGTGTTACAGCTAGGATGTTTGTGATGGATTCAGGTTTTCTATGTATTCGTTTTACGTATTCGAATAAAGGCAACCAGCTCACTCTAAAGTTCTCCTGACAGTTGGCTCTACTCTATCTCAGTTTTTCAAACTGCAGCATGGAGAGCATTTCACTAATGCAATTCTTAAAGGCTGGGGGCTTATCTGATTTCAGCTGAAGAAGAATAAGCCCTTGGACCATTAGTGATACAAAGCTATTGCCTTTGCTTGTGATGCAGAACCTGTGCCCTCTGGAGAGGGAAGCAGCTGCTGATTTAGATACAGTATTTGGAGACTTGGGATTTGATCTGTCCACATTTGGCTCTTACAACAGGTTAACATCCCCTCTTACTGCTAAACACTTTAACGAGAAAAAAGGGTTAAAATTGTGCAGCTTGAACTTAGCTTATCTGGACCTGTCTGTGATTCCAAGTCCTGTAGGTGTGAAAAGTGTCATTGCTGGCAATGAGTGCTCGACGAGTTTCAGCCTGTGAAAGCACAGGATATAGGGTGAGGTGAAACCTGGGGGAGGAGTTTAAAGTTCAATTTGTTTCTAAATTGTTTGCCTCCTGTTTGATCTTGTATTTAAGTGCTTCCCAGTTCTGTGCTACTCAGGTCTGTTATTGAAGTTGTAACCGTTCATAGTCTCTGCCTATCCCTTCCCTGTTACCACAGTGTCGGATCCATCCAGATCTTGTTTTTTTGCACATTTGTTCCTTGTCAGTTACTCAACAGGCTCATTCCTGTGTTTCCTGTCTGGCCAGTTGTGACAGTAATATCGAAAGTGTAAGTGCTTCTTGTTTCCCATAAAACAATTTTCCAGTACGAAGTTGGTTTAATTAAAGTCATCATTTATACGTTAGAAGAGAAAAAAGTTTTTTCCTCTGAGGTAAGAGGTAGTTTATAGTCTTGAAATTATTTCAAGATTTTCCAAATATTGCATGCTTGCTTCTAAGCTGTTAGATGAATATCTGTGTTTATTATAATGGAAAAGCACCTGATACAAAATCGTGCCTCACCATGTAATTTGACCATCGAAACCCAGATGCAAAGGTGTTACACAGTATGCTGCTCCTTGCAACACCAGTTTTAAGATGTATGGCTAGGTGCTTCTGGCTTGTTTATTCTGGATATTAAAAAATTTGATTAAGTGAAAAGTAGGCATAATGGCGCTGAGTACAGCTATGAAACAAATACTATATAATCGGCACTGTTTTAGCGTGTGCTCTACTGGCTTTCACCGTCTACCACTGGGGGGCGCATAAATAAATACACATTTAATTGTGCTACATTAGCAATCACATCATTCTTTAACTTTTAAATACATAAAGGAAGACATTGAGAATAAAGCCAAAGGAGCTGAAGTTACATTGTTGTTATGTGAACTGAGCCAGTAGAGCACATGCTAAAGAGGTACCATGATCTCTCCATAAGTATTTAGTGCCTTTCTTTAACAGAAAAGAAATACTTTAAATATTGGGTTACTTACGCTTTTGGCCGATTTATTTCCAGGAGTGGCCCGTACATTAACACGGAGCACTTGTAAGCTTGTTGATCACAACCTAACACCGGTGAAGTCGTTTTAGGGAATGCAAATTACATTTTGTTGTATTATGTCTACTGCATGTGTCTAAAAAAAGTGTTTTGATTTCATAATCCAATTTGAAACTTCTCGGAGTATCCAGCTAGGGTTAGGGCTTCGTTGGCTGTGTTTGTCTATTTGATCAACAAAAAAATATAAAGCTCATATGTTATTGAAAATAAATGCCATTCAAACTGAAGGAAACGGTATTTGGTCCTATTCTTCTGCTTAATGAAAAGAGTTCAACAACAAAATTTTTTGACCTTGAACTCTTTACATTGATGTCACTATAGATACTGATGTTGTCACTAGAAAATTGCAAGATTTTTTTCTACAAATTATTGCCTTGGTTTAAATCTTACCTTTGTATTGATCCCACATAGAATGACATGATTCTCTTACTTGTTAAAAAGGAATATGATATCCATTTTACATTTAGCAGATCCTGTGCCCAGAGTTTCTGAAATGGAATCCCCTATCTGTTTGATTGAAAACAATGGGACGCTGCGAGTTGTACCAGAGGCATTGTCCTATCTTATGGGAGTCAGGCAACCTGTTGTGGTTGTGGCCATAGTGGGATTGTACCGTACTGGCAAGTCCTACCTGATGAACAAGCTGGCAGGAAAGCAGAAGGGTAAGACTGCAGTTTGAATGATTTTCGCAGTTCTGCATTGTTTCATTCTCAGATATTCAGCTTTTATTTGTCATTGTTCCTTAAGGTTTTTCCCTGGGAGCCACCATACAGTCACATACTAAGGGCATCTGGATGTGGTGTGTACCTCACCCCCTTAGAAAGGACCACACTCTGGTGCTCCTGGACACCGAGGGCCTGGGCGACGTGGAGAAGGTGATCAGAAGGGTTGCTTGTTCTGTTTAAAGTATTTTAGTTAAGCAGTTAAGCTCGCTGTCATATTTATTTGGCCTTTTGGCATTAAAGTTTGACTTCATAATTACTAATGTTTAGAGCACAGATTTTTTTTACACAGCCTTGCAGTTGCCCCAACAACCAATTTTTGCATTTTATTAGAACATAAGAAATTTACAAATGAGAGGAGGCCATTCGGCCCATCTAGCTCGTTTGGGGAGAACTTAACTAATAGCTCAGAGTTGTTAGAATCTTATCTGGCTCTAATTTAAAGGAACCCAAGGTTTTAGTTTGCGCTACATTAGCAGGAAGACTATTCCATACTCTAACTACACGTTGTGTAAAGAAGTGTTTTCTCAAATTCAATTTAAAATGTTCTCCCGCTAATTTCCACTTTATGGCCTCGAGTTCTAGTATTTAAACTAATATTGAAGTAGTCATTTGGCTGAACAGCATCCAGACCTGTCAGAATCTTATATACCTAGATCATGTCCCTCCTTAATCTCCTTTGCATGAGGCTGAACAGATTCAGCTCAGCTAACCTCTCCTCATAAGACATTCCTCTAAGACCAGGAATCATTCTTGTAGCCCTATGTTGCACCCTTTCTAAGGCAGCAATGTCATTTTTAATGTATGGTGACCAAACCTGCATACAATATTCTAGGTGGGGTCTTACCAAGGAATTGTATAATCGTAGCATCACCTCCCTTAACTTAAACCCCACACACTTAGAGATATAACCTAACATCTAAGGATACCTTGGTAGAGTTACTGTGGAATTAATTTGTCAATTTTCCATTTGGAATCTGTAAACTTTCAGTGGACAGATGTACCCCAAAAGTTTTTGAGTTGGCTATTAGATTCAGGTGTAACATGCTCTATTACATTATGTGAATTGACGCCGACAGCAGTATTCTTTAAATAGATTAACTATTTATTTAGGCCAAAACTACATTTTCTCATGGCATCATTTAATTTAGAATTGGTTGTTGTATTTCAGGGAGACCAGGAGAATGACACCTGGATCTTCGCTCTCGCCATTCTTTTGAGCAGCACTCTGGTCTACAACAGTAAAGGTGCCATAGACAACCAAGCAGTGGAAAACTTACAGTATCCTTTTTTCTGTAAATAAAACTTATAAGGTGGTTCTTATGAAAACCATGTTAGTAACATGGGAGCAGACATTAGGTAAATTTCCTCGACTGGTAGTAGAGACCTTTGGCACTTGCTGGCTTATTATGATGTATTGGGTTTAATGAAGAACAGTTGTTCAACATACATTGGTTCAGTAACAATTTTCATCATTAGGTCCTTCAGGGTATATGATAGTGGCAGTTAAAGGGATTCAATTTCTTAGACCAACACAAAATTGTTCCTTAACATACATAGATATGTCACAGAGTTGACAGAGCGGATCAAGGTGAAATCGCCAGCCAATGCTTCATCTGCTGAGGATGGTGATGATGGGGCAGATGCACAGTTTGTGCAGTTCTTTCCCAGTTTTGTATGGGCTGTGCGTGATTTCACGTTGTTGCTGGAAATTAATGGAAAGAAAGTAACTGAAGAGCAGTATCTGGAACATGCTCTCACCCTTAAAAAAGGTAAGAGAACATCAAAGATACACAGTTGAATCAGATCATCAGACTTTACTGTGCTTTTGTATCTAGATAAAGATGGTGCACAACACAAAATTAATGGTCACTGGTGTGAAGAATCAGAGTCAAGAAATCAAAGTGAAACATATTCTATACCAGTTGGTAACAACAAAACAAATCTAATCTGGCAACCAGTCACTTTACTGGCAATTTTTCTTGGCTAACCTTGGTAAAATGTTGGTCCTTTGTGAAGGTGGCTGCATAGACCAATTTTGAGTGATGTAACGATTACGCCACAGGAAGTTGCTACACAAAGTGGTGGCAGAAAAACAGAAGAAACAAACAGAGGCGAATGGGCAAAGACCCCAAAGTAAAGTAGGAACATGTCATGTTGTGTGGTTGGTTGCCAAAATAGAAATTCAAAAAGCAGCGAGCTTCAGTTTATTATGGGATACCGCTGTTTAGATGACATTTGAAGTGAATCAGGCATTTATGGCACATGCAGGCCCCTGATGTACTTTCTGTATCTGTTGTTCTAGCCTCACATACAGCTCAACCTTAAAAAGCAGTGCTGCTGCACAATGGCAGCACGACTCTAACCTGTGATGATTATTATTTATGGGTGTTTTTATTAGACATTTTCAACATTATATGAGTCAATGAATCAATTTGAATCCATGTCTTGATTGAACCTGAAACAGAGTACTTAGAGTACTTTAAGTATAACATGACATTCTCCACCCATTTATGGCGCAAAGAAGGTTTATTTGACTTCCGATGCACTAATATGAGCTGTCTTGCTAACAGTAAATAAAAGGCTCTTGCCTCACAAATAGCTGATGACAATAAGAGTCTAGCTAGTACTGCCCTGAATAAGGCTTACTGGGTCTGGCTCAATGCTCTTTTAACAAATGCAGAATAGTGTATCAAAAATGGCCGACCAGGATGACCACAGAGCCGGACATGTCCAAAACATGTGCTACAGAGTGGCTTCACTTTGTTTGCATCAGTTGGATCAATTCCAGGGTACATCCTGGCGGTTTACTCTTAGGGTAGTGTAATCTATGAACTACAGTATTAGTCCGTGTCTTACTTATATAGATGTGGAATGAATCTGACCAATTGCAGATTGCCAGACATCCTCCGATTTCTTGAATCCAAAATATGTGCTCCATTGCCCCTTTAAAGAATCTAATGTGGGAGAGGTCATTTTGGAAATTGTATCATATATCCTAGAGGTTACACCCTTTTCAGTAGGCTTGATGTGTTATAGATCTTCACTCCAGTTTTGAGCTGGGGGGCGGTGAAAAGCAAGCAAATCACTTCTTAGCAAAGTCTCACATCTGCAAGGACCAAAAAATGGGATTTTGATATATTATGCATTGTAATTTGCTCAAAGGGCATGTGACTATCATTGTTATAAAGATCTCTAAGATATTTCAGTCCACTTTTGAATCTCAAGTTAAATGCAGAGTCTAGTGGAAACATGTACACATGCAATGAAATACCAAGGGCAGCAATGCCAGTGATTACGGTTGAAATTTGCCCCAAACTGATACCAAATCTTTAATGAGCCAGTCACCACTGGATTATCAGACACAAATTTGCTGACCATTGGAAATGAGCTGCAACTTAGAGGCCAAAGAAAATGGATTGCAAGAGAATTGTTCCATCTCTACCCAGATAGGGCCACAACCCCTAAAAAGGTTTGACACCCAGTAAATTATTCTCTGAATATTAGCTGCCCAATAATAAAATCTGGCAATGAAAGACCTCCCTCATCCTTTAAGTTTAAACAAATCTTTATATCTAGAAATGACAAATATTAGCTGCCCAATAATAAAATCTGGCAATGAAAGACCTCCCTCATCCTTTATGTTTAAACAAATCTTTATATCTAGAAATGACAAAACCCCCCAGATACATAAAGGTATTTTGCTCTGATATAATTTTATTGGTCCAAATGCATGCTTGGAGAGAAGAATATACAATAGCAGTCCAATTGCAAAAGTTATCCCCGAAACGAAATGTCTTCAAAACAAAGCATTAAAATAACTGGAGAAATCGTCTGGATTATTCATATATGATTTTTGCACTCACACCTGAATACCGCTACTTCTGATCTGTCTGTTTCTGCCACCACTTATGCTCCACCCACAATACAAGTCATCCTTGTTTGCAAACATGGTCTATACTTCAAGTGATCTATACTTTGAATGATGTTGGGACAAAATGAAATTAAATGATGTTGGCGAGAACTGTCCGTTGCATACTTAAAAAAAAAATGGCCTTATTCATTCTATGTCACGCCATAACACTAAAGGTGCCGACTGTTATTGATTAAGCAGACCCACATTGAGAATGAAAATAAATGTATGCTTATTTGCAATGTCTCGCCATGAATCTCAGGTTATCTGCACATCTTTAAAATTGACGTGACAAAATGATCTCCAGATCTCACACATGCACTAAACATTTATGCAATGTGACCGATTTTTAATATTTAATTGTATGTGACACATATAAGAACATAAGAACTATACAAACGAGAGGAGGCCATTCGGCCCATCGAGCTCGCTTGGGGAGAACTTAACTAATAGCTCAGA